TTCACAGCATTCGTGAAACATATTCAAAAGTATATTTACCATCTTCGTAGATATTTGCAATAAAAAAGTCCTCTGACACGATTTCGAATTTCAATTTACAGGAAGATACATTGCTTTGACGCGTGTTTTCTTTGTAGAAAGAAGCATTTACCCGTCGCTTATTCGCGGTCGAATTATATTTATGATAACCCTTAGTCCTTCATGTTGCCGATGATATCGCTTTGAAATATACGGATAATAGAGCTTTGGTGCTTTAATAACCCTTTATTTCCTGCGATATTACACGTGGTAAATGTTCTTGCGGTTGTTTGCTTTTAAATTGTGCGAAGCCTGGCGGTGCGTGATCGTCAGGCATAAAGAGGAAATAATGTTGTCGGGACATGTCGACGATCACGATCGCCAAGTAATAATGAGATAATAATGAGTTGTAACGATTCGAGGAATTTTGAATGATAGCTGGAAGATTTGAAATGACAGCACGATTTACGACAAATTGAATATTTCATTGATACATCGAGACTGTTATCGAAATATAAAGGTATAAGTTTGCTGTGAATTTTCGATTTAAAAATTTTTGCGAAAACACATGTAGCTCGACGACGCGAACATATCCGAATCATTGGAGCTCAATTAGGGAGCTGTTTCAATTGATTTAAAAATTTCATATACGATAAAACGACAAAGAACGTGATTAACGCGTTAATTGAGTTCGTTTCTTCGAGAAGAGAAATCAAGAAAAGATTTCCAGACATTCTTTTGTTTAGGGCACAGACTCAAAATTACCCCTTTATACATGCAAACTAAACCACTTCCCTGACACATTTTTAAATTCAATCTAATCAAACGTATTTATAATAAGAATTATGTATAAATATGTATTTAACATTAATAGTTTTAAAATCAATATAAAAATGAACATGGAAAGATTTTCTTTGTACTGTTCGTACGATTATGTTTAAAATAGTACTATAGCGAGAGCAGAAAATTGTTTCCCCCTAAAATTGTGCTTTAAATTTCAATCTTTTAGGTTCATTTTCTACAATACTTTTAGAAATAAAGGTTTGTTAATTAATTAAAGGAAAAATACATCGTATTTGCACGAAACACGATATGATGAAAAAGATCAAAATATATTTACATTTACAAATGACGTTTTCAAAGAAATTCCAATTTAGATCGGAAACTCGATCGAAGATGTATCAGTTTCGGCGAAGTAAGAAATGCATCAAGGCAGTGGTCGATTTTTCACTAAAATTCACTTACGTCCATTTCTCTACATCATTTCCCTCATGGCAGTTTTAGCTAGCTTCCGTGTGTCCGAATCCAACTAATCGGAACGTCTTACCTACTCGCTTAGCCTAATCGCGGCCATCAGCCGCAAAGGACTGCGAATTCATCCACTCACATCTTTCTGCCCGACATTCATTCTCTCATTTCTTTATTCCACGCTCTCCTCATTCTTCGTCAATCTGTTTTTTCCCTCGCTCTTTGGAATTTTTCGTCTCTCACGACCGCACGCACTTTCTTCTCGTCCTTCGCCACATTTTTCCCCTTTCGTTTCCTGGAAATCGATATCGTCTCGCGCTGTTGAACCATATCGGCGCATCTCGTTAAGCGTACAAGTGAGAAAGTAGCTAAGATTAGAGCCGGAAGGATCAGTCTGGCTACGAGAAACAGTGGATACTTTTCTTCTTTTCTTTGTTCGTCGATACTATACGTCAGGATTATGTGGCGCTTTAAATCCTTTCAATTTTATGTAATCTCTTCTCAGCTCGACAGATCACATCGACGACACACGGTAATCAAATGTTCCAAGGAATGTTCGAACTTCAATACAAAAATATCAAGTATTTATTTTATTATCCTTGAATATTCTTGATTCGATATAAGAACGCCTTTTCCAACTAATTTTTCAGCTAATTCCTATTTTACGTGAAACAATAGCCGAGAATCTTTGAATAATCCAAGTAAAAAGATTCGATAATAATTAATCCCACATAATCCTGATCGTCATTTTTCGTACGTTCCAGTTTAGCAGATAGCATCGACGAATCTTACCCTTTCAAGTACTTACAATTCGTTTCTTATCGATCGACGTGTTGTCGATCGCGTCAAACATAAACTGGCAATCCCATTGATCGGTGATTTACTTTAATTCTTGTGATATAGATTTCGTGCTAATGTCGATATTTAAAAACTCTCTTGTATTATTTATATACTCGTTCTTTCGTACACACGCCATATTTCTATTGTTCGCACTCCCATTCATTCGACTACCATCTTTCTCTCGCAACTATAACTTCTATAACTATATATGCTTTTTGTATCTGTAATCTATGGAGACGGCACAAAGCTGAACGGCTATTTAATAGATACAAATATGTTACATGTATACGAGTACGATTTCTCACGCTTGCATTTCGCTCCGTATCGCGTTGATTGTAAAATTAAAACGGCCGCACGACGAAACGATAGAGAAGGCATCCCTTGCTGGTTCGACACTTTACGACGAATTTTATTTATTGTCCCCGTAAAAGGCAGTGAAAGGATCTCGTTCTGATTTGTATAGTGTAAAAATACTTCGAAAAGTTGACGGAATGAAATCATACCATAGAAATAATTTTCCGTTTCAACTACAAGAATGATTTTTCTATGTCGCCTCTGGGTACGCTCGTTACGTTTTCTTACTCGTTAGTCGTCGCGATTGGTATAAAAATTTTGTGCGATTAATTTACATTTGTGCAATAAATTAAGCAATTCAAGAAAATTGTTATCGTTATCGTAGTATAAAATAGGGATTCAGTCGGTATTTGTGGATGGTTCTCATCGTGATCGTCCAATGTTCAATTATTTTTCTATGGTACGGTTGGTCTATTCCGATCTACGAATAACTGACGTATCGGAAAAGTTTATAACAACATCGTTGTTCTTGTCATTTAGTATACTCTGAGCGATAGCATTGCTAAATATGCGCTACAGCGATTGTCATTTCAAATGTACGGAGATTTACTCTGCAGACTAAAGTAATAGCAATATCAAAGTTCGTGTAGCAAACACGCACGTCGAATTAATATTTCTCTTTGTACAGCGAAGCTACACCGATGCCGAATAAATCTTTAACACGCGTCACCTCAGTTTCCTGTCAATTAATCCAATAATACGCGCTATAACATAAATCACGTGTAATTACAAGATAATCGATTTTCCAATTATTGGTCTTCGAACTTGTCGGTATATCGAACGCATATCGTACGATTTCCGAAGTACGTTTCATTCGTCTCAGTTAGAAAGTGAAAATAATTTCAATTTCAATTTCTGAAATACTTTTTTTCTCGCCAATTTCCCAAATCCGTTATTTTCGTTAGTAACCATTTAATCGAAGCGTAGTCGATCATTCGACAAAAATTATTTTTCAAATCTCTATATTTTTGGAATCCTAACGTAGCGAAGTTACATTTTTATCGATTGAAACTATTTTGAACATTTTCTATAACAGCGAAGATGTTAAAAAAAGCAAAGCCGAGAAAGATTTACGTCATATTTTTCTGTCAGCTTGAAAATAGAGAATATCCAACTGCCAAAATAAGCTCTCAAATCCGAATGTTTCGATGCAGAAGCTCTTTAAATATTCGGTTAAAAAAAACCCACGTTCCTTTACACGTTCCCGCTCTCTGCGCCGTTTATCATTTCGTGTCTCGTAAATCTGCTTTTATCGTTTACTATAACTCCTGTGCAATTCACACCGCGCGAGGTGCTAGCAGTCTTGTCGCAATCATTCTTCGTAAAGCGTGCCTCGGCTCTTACCCTATCGTTCGTCTACGAGCTAAGAAACATTGTAGGAACTAATGTCGTTCGATCGACAGATGTCGTAAAATCAACGACGCGATTGCGACGGAAAACCGAGAACGATGAAAACTACACGCACGAATAACGAATCTCAAACGATAAACCACAGTTGACTAATTAATTTCCATCCATTTAGATTTCTCCCGACTAGCTACAGTTTCTTTCTATTCTCTTCGTTTCTTTCGATTTCTTACCTTTTCTCTTTTTCTTTTTTCATTTACGCGAAGAGAAATGCCAGCGTGCAGAACGTAATTTTTTATCAATCTTTCCCCTCCGTGTCCGAGGCCCGTTGTGATAATTTCAGCCGCGGCTTGTGCTCGCGATTTTTCGCCCCGCGACACTCACGCATCGACGCAATTTAACCACGCACACATAACGCGCGACACGTAACACACGTACTGCACCCGCATGCACACATCAGCGTGTCCCACGGTAACGATTTTCCGTGAAACGTTTCCTCTGCCTTTCGGCCCGATCAATATTACCTATGTAATTCACCCTTTGCCGCGTGCACATGGCTGACGTCAATCCGAAGTAACGGCGGCCGA